AATTGATGCATAAGTATGTGGCACCGATATCATCATCAATGTATTACAGGAGTAGATTGGAAGGTAATGTCAAGTTCATATAGTAGATTGGTAACCCAATTAAGTTCTACAGCGATGGTGGCGATGGCTCGATATTTAGCTACAGTGGTGGATCTTGCGATTATTTTTTGTTTCTTAAAACTCTAACTGATTGGATTTACTTCAAGGAAGAGAATGTATGTTAACGTAGACACTTTATCATCAATATTGTTTGCTAAAACAATATCGACAAAGGCATGGAGATGAAATGATGAGTGTTTACGAAGAAGAGATCCATAATTGAGTCTATTTTATATATCGTAAGACTTATTTTACTATAAACTAATGCGTAGTGGAGGGCTGATATATAAATTATGATAATTTATTGATTACAAATAAGATATCTGGATATGTGAGAGATAAGTACCGTAAGGAGCCAAGTATTTGTCGGTATTGTATGGGATTCATTGTAGAGTTGTCATCATATAATTTGAATGACTTAGTAGTAGAAAGTAGGGTAATAACTTTTTTAACTTTATTTATGTTTACTTTTGATAATAAATCTTAAATATATTTTGAAATATGAAAAGTCTTAGAAGATAAATATTTCTTTCACTCTAAAAAAGTAGCTTATGGTTCATAAATCTTTGATAGAGAATCGATCTGCCAACTGCTTAAGAAATTACTTGATCTCAATGAAATTATTATCTATAATGATAATGTAATCAATATACACCAATAAATATATAATACCTTTATTCTTTTATCGTAAAAATAATGAGGTATCGGACTTGGAGTTGATGAAGCAAGTTAATACCAAAAACAAGCCAAGTTCGGTATATCAGACTCTTAGAGCTTAGTAAAGTTCATAAATAGCATTTCATAGTTTATAAATATGACTTAAATATTTAGGGTAGATGAAGTCAAGAGGTTGCTGCATAAAGATATATTCAGCTTAGGTCCATTGTAAGGTCCATTGTAAGAAAGTATTATTAATATCCAATTGACATATATGCTATACTTAAGTCATAGCCAAACTCAAGATAAGCTGGATAATAGGTGATTTAACAACTAAATTGAATACTTTTATGAAGTTAACACCTGATTATTGATGATACTATTTGACTATTAGATGTGCTTTATATCTAATAACAGTTCTATTTGAGTGCTGCTTAATTCGATAGATCCACTTATATCCGATTATATTTTGTATATAATGAAATGGTATAAGGGTCAATGTGATATTATGTAGTACAGTATCATATTTTTTACACATGGCTTTGTGCCAGTGTAGAGATTTTTGAGCTTGAGTGATAGTTATAGGTACAATAAGTTCAGGTGGAGAGCATTTGGTAGCATGAAAGTTAAGGATTTGATAAGGTTTGAAGATATTATTTTTAGAGCATGTTGTCATGTGATGTTCAAGCGTGGTCGTATTATTAGGTTGTGATAAAGGTATGAGAATTGATGGAGAGTTATTAATACGTACTTGATCAAGTTGATACACTTTGGTGTCACTTGACAAAGGAGAGGACAAAGATATCATTTTTGAAGCCGAGGGTATCACTTCATTGAGTATTGCAGAGTGAATTTGTGAAGTATGTGGATAAGTTGTAGAGGGGGTGAGGTGCATCCCATCTTAGTCTTCGTAGCTTCTATCAACTTAACTCATTACTAGTCATAGGTATCATGCAAGTCAATCATACGAGTGATGACATATGTGATATGATATGTACTCTTTTTCTTTATTATATTCATAAACATTTTATCACATTATATTCCTTGTTACATTATATATATATATATATATATATATATATATATATATATATATATATATATATATATATATATATATATATATACTATCAAAAGTTTGTATAGTACTATCAAAAGTTTCCGAGAAATGAAAGTTTGTTGGGATTTCCTCATCTTGAATGTTCTAGATGAATGAGGATCAATCTAAGGTAATATTAGCTAGATTCCCTTTCTTGAACTACTGAAATTTTCATGACATCTCGTTTAAATGTTGGCCCATTTGCCTCGGTAGATCATCCATTGATTTCACTAATTAAGTTTCAGACTTGGGTGGAATAGAGTGGTAGTGGAGTGGTGCACTGAATTTTGCTATTGGGGAATAAGGGGCTTCCTTGGATGGCAGCTCCACGAACCTCGAGCAATCTTGAGATATTGGCATTTTACCGATTGAGAGGACTCCGAATGGTGTCGGTGCCAATAATAGTTAAGGCATCAATCATAGCTAAGGTGGTGATGTCATGTGTTGGGCTAGTTGAGGTAGGAAAAGGGCAATAACTTGTAATACGTCCGTGAGCATTTGCATATGATTGGCAAGGTTTAGAAATATCATGACGTGAATAAGTAGATGGCTCGAGTTCATCCTCGGGGGTGAGGGGCTTAGGTCACTGAATAGATACTAGTTATTGGCTTCAGCGTCGAGATGGACACATCCTCTTGTGGGACCAATGTCGAGATGGACACATCCTCTTGGTCAGCCTGACATAGTCCAGACCCATATGCACAAGAATATTCGATATATCTTTGAGCTAAAAATATCATGCTCCCGAGGTGTCACCAGCATGAAGTCCAAGGTCGAGTAGGGTTTTCCAACTCTATCCCTCTAATGCTAAGTTAGTCATCTGAGGTATCTAAACGTGAGTTTAAGTAGTTTAAAAGAGTGAGTCCCTCTTTCTTTATTTAAGATATGTTTTTATACATTAGGAGGGAATTTTTTTTTATAAAAACCTTCTTTTGTCATAAAGAAAAAGGGGGTTTAGGATTACTCTCCTTATCATAAAAGGAGTGAAGGAACTTTGTATTTCTCTTTTTTACCATAATGAATGAGAAGCAAGTTTATATTTATCTATTTTGACTCTTTGTGCATGTAGACGAATGGAGGATAACCTAAATCTCGCGAGGCAAATGCATGTCAAATGATGGTTGATTCTCTATCATTAAACACTTTGAAATTCAATAATTTCTGAACTTCAATAAATTCTTTAAAAAAATAATTTCAAGATTTTATGAGTTAAAATAAATAAAAATATCTATGTTTTAAAGGCTTGTAAATATAAAAGTGATCATTTAGGCCTTAGCAAGTCATTTTCAAGATTTTCCAATGATTTTTTTATAAAAAAAAAGTGGAAGGGTAGTTACACTTTTTTTGGAATGAATTTACTATATTTTTAAATAGGACTAAAAAATAATATAACCTCATTTTAAAAAAGTATAACTTAGGGTTTTAAGAAAATGCATAATTTCAAGATTTTAAGGTCTAAATTAAATAAAAGTACTTATTTGTAAAATCTTAAAAGTAGAAAAGTGATCATTTATGCTATTCTATATTGTTTCCAAGAGTTTAAAAAATTAGGAATTTTTGGAAAAAAATTATATTTTAGTTGCACAATTTTTTAACCAAGTTACATTGTTTTTGGAATAAGACAAAAAAAATAATGTGATTACATTCAAAAACAGTTTAATTCATGCCTTAAATTTTTTTTCTTAAAACTACATAAAACCTTCTTTGATAATATTCAAGTTAAATTTGGCTGAAAGTGGGTGTAAATTCACCTTAAATTTGACAAAATTTTAAAAATAACACAATTTCAAGTTTTGAGTGCTGAAATAAACAAAAAAAATATTTTTTTTAAAATTTTTTAAAAGATTGTTTAGGCCTTTATAAGTCATTTCTATTTTTTTTAATTTAATTTTTTTAAAAAAAAATTAGGAGGCGAGTTACACTTTTTTTTGAAATAGAACCCAAAAGATAGTGCAACCCATTTAAAGACAGTGTAACTCTGATTTCTATTGATTTTTAAAAAAAGTTCAGTAACTCTTATATGATTAAATTCAAGTGGTTGTAAATTCGGATTAGATTATACAAAATGAAAAATGATAAAATTTCAAACTTTTAAAGGCTGAAATAAATAAAAAATTATATTAATTAAAAAATTATATTAAAGCCTTAAAATATAAAATTGGTCATTTGGATATTTGTGAGTCATTTCTATTTTTTTAACTTTTGTTTTTTATAAAAAAAATTGGAGGTGAGTTAGACTGTTGGCAAATGAGATTATACTAGTTTTTTAAGAGACACCAAAAATTATGTAACCCCCAATCAAAAACAATGTAATTCAGGTCTTCAAAAAATTTTTTATCAAAACTTAAGAAAACTTTCTCTGATAATATTCAACTGATCTTTAGCCCAAAGTGATGCTTGATTAATCTTAAATTGGCTAAAATTTAAAAATAACATAAAATTCATCTTTTAAGGACTAAAATTAGTAAAAATTATATAGTTTAAAATTTTAAACATATAAATGGTTATTTAGTGCTTTGTAAGTCACTTCCAAGGGTTTCTAAAAATTTAAGAATTTTTAAAATTAATATTTAATGATTTTATTATTATTTATTATGTTATTTTACCTTTATATTCAATAATATCATATTGCGTTATCATAATTTTTATTTTTATAATAATTGGCTTTCATTTTAACATTAATTTCTAATTATTATTTTTTATCGACTAATATTTATTTAGTACCGATCTAATGTTGACTTAAACAAAAAATAGAGGCTCTAAGAGTCCACCTGAAAAAACAATATATATAGAGAGAGGCTCTCTAAGGAGAAAAAAGAAACAAACAATGGATTTTTCTAAGAAATTTGTCCTTATTATTATTATTATTGAATGACCTGACACTCAATCATATTTTTACTGTTACAAATATTGAGTAATGATTATTTTGAAGGTGTCTGTTCGTTTGAAGTTTTATCGCAAAGGATCTAAAAATCTGCAAAATACTTTTATCCATATATTTTTGGTCTGTAATGATTGAATCGGTTGAATCAATCTATAATGGATGAATTAGTCTCATTTATGGGTATAACTCAGCTTGAAATCAGTATGACTGACTATGTTAAGAGATCATTTCTAGTATACCAATGTACTACTGCACGTCAAATTAAAAGTAGTACACGGGGCACTCGGTGGCCTTGAAGGTGCCGGAGCTCCCCGGCACCGGAAGCTTCAACCTGCAGGCGATACTTGGCCGGTTGTAACGGAGCTTATAGACCCACCCGTTGAGCCTCAGCCTCGCCCGCACATTCACGTCGATGGAGTAGTAGCCCTCGCCCTTCTCCCTCGCGTACGTCGTCGCCGCCGAGTCCCCCAGCAGGATCTGTGCGCCCTGGAACGTCGGGGAGAGATTCGCCGTGCTTTTGTGGCCCAGGTCGAAGGCGGAGAAAACGACGAAGTCGAAAAGGCAGCCATCGTAGCTCGCCAGCGCCTCCACGTTGTCGAAGTAGATGCTGATCCGCTCGGTGGGGTTGCGGATGCTCATGGCGAGGCTGAGCCTGAACTTCAGGTTGCGGCTGTCGCTGCTGTAGTTGAACTCGGCGAGGGAGGCCTCGTTGACGTAGACATCGACGCCGGGAGGAATGAAGGCGAACATGAGGACGGACACGAAGACGATGAAGGCGAGGATGAGGATGGTGAGGCCAAGGATAGCCGAGAGGCTGCCCGGGCCGCGGCTGCAGCAGAAGCAGCTGGAGCAACGGCGGGCGCTGCCGTAAGCGTTGCTCGAGGGCACCGCCGGGCCATAGTAGACGTCGGTCAGATCTGATCGATGCATGGAAGAGAGAGACGAAAGAAAGAGAGATGTCTACTAAACGAGACAAAGACACAGGCGGAGAGGTGGAGGAGGATGATGTGCACAAGAGGGTGAGAGATACAACAGAGGGTAAGTCTACGCGGTGGGAGGGTAGATATAGACACTATAGTACATTACAAAATAAGAAAATTTATATGATTTTGTCAGTTTGGAATAAATATAAAACAATATTATGATAGAGAATCATTATAGTATATTACCATGATCAAGATAATCCTCTTTAGTATTATTTTTCTTTATATACTCATTCCTAATAGTAGTGATTGCATCAATCTTGGACCAAAATAGAAAAAAAAAAAAAGGCTTAGTAGGAACGTATGCAAATCGGTTGAGTCACAAGAGAAAGTGAGTGATTAATGGTTGTGTTCTTCGTATGTAAATTAATACCAGTATTTGGTTAAAATATGCATAAGTGAGATTGATCTTATAGGATAAGTTAAGAGGAGTAGCTATATAGAGTAGCATAGTAGCAACAATATAGACTCACCTGGGTGCGATTAAGAAGGTTATAGATATACTTGGAAGAGGCCATTCACTGACAGGATAGCTTGAATAATATTGAAGATGGAACCTACTAGCAAGCTTATGAATAAATGAGTTAGATAATTATTGCTGGCTTGCTACTTGTAATAGTTAAGTTGTTCTCATAAATGGGTATGAACATGATATAAGAATAATAAATTATCAGATTGGGAATTGCTAAAACTAATTGAGAGTAGATATATTTAAAGTTTATGAGAGGGGTCTAATTGAGACCATAAAAGGTTTTGGAAAACTTAATGTCTGAATTGGTTGGCTGTTGATTTATCTCACCATGGTCAAACTGATTGAGTCCACTTCATGAAGGTTATTATGTCTTGAGAAATGGATCTTCGAGGAGGTGGATGCTTATTCGTGATGACTTTTCTCAAATTGAATTCGCTTACCTACAAAACTACCACTCAAGATAGTTGGAGGTTGATGTGAGGGTCTAAAATATAATTTTGACTCACAAACCATACATGAGATTTTCTTATTTTAGAATAAATAAAAATATTTTGAAGACTAATCTTCTCTCTGTATTATATTATGCTGATGTGGCAAGTCCCAATTGACCCAAAATATTACCCACACCATTTGCCTCCTATTGCGCTTTGGGAAGACCATTTTGTGATGAAATGCAAGGTACATATTGGGCACGTCATATTGGAAGATCAATTGTATAAAAAACTTTTGCTTCGAAATGGCTTAGTTATAAGGGCCACATTGGGTGTGTCTAACGTTGGAAGACGCTTTGGTCACAAAGGTCATATTGGGCACGTCATACGTTTTCCCTAGTTAGGATACTCTGAGAGCGAAAAGATACATTGAAAGCGAAGGTTGTATCATATGCATTGTATGTTTTGCCTGATTATGATGCATAGAGCATGGGGATATGCATAGATCGTAAAGATCGTATCGAGTGTATCATATACTTTGTCGAGTTGGGATATGTTTAATGTTAAGAGATATATTAAAGTATCAAAGCACCCATGTGGTTTATTCGATTGAGGATTATGAAGCATTGGACAAAAGATGCGTGAGCATTGGGGCATGATGACTTGATTGACCAACATAGATGATGTTGGATGCTAGAGATGTAGGTGGGCATGGCTCCATATCAACTTGAACCATCTATTACATACGATGTGTCGATGTAGGAGACCTACGGGGCATTAGGATATGTAGACTTGAATCATCCATGTAAAAAGTGTTTGATGTAAGAAATACATAGGAGTGTTGAGATGTATTGATTTGAGCTACTGATGTATAGGGTATCAAAACATAGGAGACATACATTCACTTAATTGTCTACTTAGGAGGTGTCATAAATTATATCGACTTAAACTTCTCACACATAAAAAGATATTATACGTAAGATATAACGTAAAAAATATGAGTCATGCTAACTTAAATCGCCCGCAAAGAAATATCATATAAGATATCAGATACACATAAAAATATCGACTTAAACCATATAGGTGGTGTAAGATGAAAAAGATATGTGAGAGTACGAGAGCATACCGATTTAGATGACTAGTACACGTGAGATCATGGGTCATGGGGACATGCTAACTTCATCTGAGCGCATTAGCGCATGCTAGACTATAGCTGAAGGTGTTACCTGCCTTGAGGAAGCAGCATAAGGAGACTGGTCACTTGGAACATGCGGCAGACATGTTGCAGCACGCAGAGGCGTTGAAGCCTACTTGACATTGCACCAAGCGGAGACGACGTCGTCGTCGTCGTCTTGAAGTTGTGGTGACCGAAGTCGTTGCGGCCGACTTGAAGATGCGGTGGACGGAGACTTGCAGTCAACCTTGACGTTGCACTGTGAGGGGACATCGCGACAGCCGTCTTCAAATTGCGGCCGACGAAAACATTGCCACTGACTCGGGATGTCACGGATAATGACTCAGGCCATGGACGACGCCGAAAGCCGCGAGCGATGAAGTTGGGTGAAATCGCTCGACATGACATGGACGAAGTTTCGGGGTGATACCGAACGAGGCGGAAGCTGCAGAGATGATGTCCACGTACACCGCTGCGTGGGCAGCGGCTCTAGTAGCGGCGGAGGGCAACGATGGCGCAAACAGAACAATCTAGTGGCTGCGACCATGGCGGCGATAATGGCGGTAGCGGCAGCAGTAGAATGGAGCAGGTGGCGGTGCCGGAGGAGGGAGGCGTAGTGCCGACGGCTGCAGACAGCGTGGCGACAGGATGCAACAGCGGCTTCACAAGCGAAGGCAGCGATGAGTTTGACACATTTCAAAAAGTAAAAAATATGATAAAAAAAAAACCAAAATTTTCACTTTTGTTTAAATTTAAGTCTTAAATATCTTAGAAGACGTTATAATATTTATGATTATTTATTGTAAATGGAAGATAATAAAAAATAAGACATTATCAAATTATAATATTTTTGAAGAATCAATATTTTTCGTTCAACTAACTCCATACCATATAAAATACTGGAACTGTATTCAAGAATAGCCCGTCTGGTTGCTGCCTTTTTTTAATATAAATCTTAAACATTATGTTAATAATGCCATTGATTAATGTACACAATAATTTTTGGCCATCGATAAATTTTGATTTTATAGCCTAATTATAGGCCATGCAAGTACCGTAATCAAGCCATGTAGGACTAATTAGTCAAATGAGTTGCCACGTAGCAATTTCATTAAATAATTATTTGATTAAATAATTGCTTAATTAAAGCGCGTACCTATTCGATCTTCGCCTTAATTGCCTCCGCCTTTATTGTTCTCATTCGCTTCTCCATCATCGACGACATGCAAAGAGAAAGCGATCTCTTGGGGACAGTCGGCGACTGCTGTTCACCCCATTTTAGGGTTTCCCTGTGAGGATAGGCGGATCGAAGATGAAGATCACCGCCCTCCTCCTTCTGAGAACCGCCGGCGACTACTCCTCATCCTCAGGGCCGTCGGATCCGGTGGTCCTCGCTAACGCCTCCGACGTCAGCCACTTCGGCTACTTCCAGAGGATGGCCGCCAAGGAGTTCATCCTCTTCGTCGCTCGCACTGTCGCCAAGCGCACGCCCCCGGGCCAGCGCCAGTCCGTTCAGCACGAAGGTTTCGTCCCAGATATCTAGCTTCATCTCCCTTCGTCTTGTCGTAGCTTTCTTTGATACGGCCCAGTTTTCTGTGTGCTTCGTTTCGTCCGATTTGGGCATTTTGCAGCGAAACACGTTTAGATGTTTATTTCAATCAGTCAGAAAATTATGGTGTTTCTTCTCTTGGATAGAACTCACCAATATCATTTCTTCTATTAGACGATAATTAGGGTTCCAATTATATCTTCCAAGCGATCGAAGCGTAGGACACGTACCATTTAATTTGCTGAACTCTGTAAGGTTTTCTTTTGAATTTTCGTGAGACGGCAGTTGTTACCGCTGTGAAGATGATCTTTATAGATAATCTTTTTATGTTTTTATTTTGATTTTGTGATCGAATGTTTTAATAAATTGTTTCTGATTTCTTCTAACCTTTCGCAGAGTACAAGGTGCACTCTTACAATCGGAATGGTCTTTGTGCTTTGGCATTTATGGACGATCATTATCCAGTCCGAAGTGCATTTTCTCTCTTAAACAAGGTGGTCAATCGTCTCTTTGTTGCATATTGTGCGGTTTTGTTTTTCTGCTAGATTCTGCTACGTTCTCGTTCTTCACAAACGTTTACTCCGAAAACTGTCCTGCTCCCAGTACAAATACTTCTTGGATTTGCTTCATCTCTGATACTTCGTACCTGTAAATTCTATTTCTTCCTCTATCAGAGTAATTTTATTTTTCTAAATTTTATCCTTCTGTACTTCAGCATCTCTTCTAAAAGACTTTCTTTTTGGAAAAAAGATCTTCTTTTTTTTTATAATGTGCCCCATTGATTGTCATAAGCGTTTACTGTGACAAATTATTCCCGTCCAATTTTTTCTTTATTCAAGTTCCATTATTTATGTATCCATTGTGTTGGAAGCATGGAAAAACGCCACAAAGTACATACTGTACAAGAACATGCACGTGGGTTTAGACGGCTGCCATTAAACCCAGGTGACCAACTTAATTGAATGCTGATCTGAAAGGTGGTTGTTTTTGGTTCTTCATGCTTCTTTTTTGTACACCTTTTTGTTAAAAGGGCATGTGGGATATTTGTAGTGTGCACCTCCGAGCATGAATTTTATGTGATAGCTTGAAGTGATGAGTTGGTTGAAGCTTTGGGCAATGGCCATGGAAGGAAAAGGTAAAAGAAGAATTAATGATCGTTACCTTTGTTTAAATATTTTTGTGAAAAAGCAATGGTCTTGTTGAAGCCATGGAGTAGAGTAGAAGGAAGAATGATCTAGTGAAAAAAAATGCTTCAGTATATTATTTAGGGCATGTGCAATATATTAGTGAAAAAGAATTAGTATGCACTTGACAACGATCAAGTCGATTTTGACCAATACATTTAAGATATTATTTCCTCATAACAAGTTCTGGCGTTAGTTATAAGTAATTAGTCTTGTCCTAACATTTAGGTTTCAGGGTTCACCTTGACTTTTAAGGTTGGTTCTGGAGGGTAAGATGATCATTTTAATTAACTTTTTAATGCAGCTTTTCACCTCACATAAGTCTTACATAATTGTAAATGTATGAAGGTACTAGATGAATATCAGAAGACTTTTGGGGATTCTTGGAGAGTTCAACAGACAGATTCTAATCAACCATGGCCGTTTCTAACTGAAGCCTTCACTAAATTTCAGGTCTGTGTTTTTCTTTAATTGTAATATTCAGCTATGGCCAGTATTTGGTTGTACATCAATCTTACCGTAAGTATTACACAATAAATCTTCTTCTTTTACTTCTGTTCACTATGAAGTATTTTTGCATTGTAAATTATAAGCTTGTTCTCTTTTTTTCTTTTCTATTACTATTGTTCTAAAAATGCTGGAGTAACTAGCACAGCAGTTACATTTCTGAAATAACTGTTGGCTTTTGGTCCAACAATTTCATTCTTTTCCACTTTAGTGCCACATAATCTTTACATTGTAAACTAATATTTGCAAGCTTCTATGATAAACTTTCTTTTACATTTTTATTAGGATCCTGCAGAGGCTGACAAGTTGTTGAAAATTCAGAGGGACCTGGATGAAACTAAGATACTTCTAGTAAGTATATTAGTGCACAAGCTTAGATGCTGCCGAAGATTTGAATCATGATCCTTGTATATTGCTTAGCATTTTACTTTTTCTGACAAAAACAGAAGCTATATTGACCAAGAAGGATTATTCATTTTTTATCTTTATTTGTCCAAACATCTATTTACAAATGAAAACAAAGAGAGAGAATTGTTGACTAGAGATTAAGGAGCTTTTATAATTCTGCTGTATAGAGATGACATCATGTTTGGAAAGTGCAAGTTTGTGCCTTCTGGTATGTCTGTTTAAACTCTGACTGGCACAGCTATCTGCTGGATTCTCCTTTTAGATATGAACTGTGCTGATGTTATTAGGGAGGAGTACTTGTTTATGTAATCCTTATGATAAATTTAAGTTGCCTTCATTTGTGAATTCTTATTCTTTTCTTTTTCATGTCATGGAGTTTGCTTGATTGAAACATGGATAAAAGACCAGAGTTTCTCATTTTAAGTTTTTCTTTGCTGGTGCTGTCTGTTAAAAAATGGCTTTGAATAATAACTAGGTATTGCATGTTTGATTTGTAAAAGTTTTCATATCCAACTAGCCTCACAAGCATGCAAAGAAGTTTTTATTCTTTAATAATGGATCTGAAGACAACAGTTTGCTATTTCCAATTATGTCCCTTTGGCTCTTTTTATTTTCATTTGGATTTCACTTGCAAGACTACCTTAGACATTCCTTCCAACTTCTATTTTTTGTTTGTGTACTCAAGTTTTTTATACTTGATCAGACCAAAAGGAGATGGAAGTTTAGATTTTATTGTCCAATAGGTGATCTGAGGACAAACACGTTAATTAGTTTCTTATTTGCACTTCATCACCGATACTCTAAAATTGAGTCTACTGTTTGCATCAAATTTACAGATTTTAATTATCCTTTGTTCAGGTCCGCATGGTTACTGTCAGTTAGGATGACCTCCATTGAGCATATTATTTTTATAATAATCTATAGTAATATGGTTTTTGTGATTCATATATTGGAACTGCAGGCACCAGCAATTAAAATGAAATGAGAATATGAAATCATGATCCTGGGTATATTTATGTACGTACTGAACTGAGCTCATTGTGGCTCTCCATGTAAAATTTAATCCATTTATATTCTTGCATCTCATGAATGTTAAACTCAGTAACAAATGATATTATTATAGAAGAGGAGAGAATGGACATTGTCCCCTGTTTTAACTGCTTGCAGGAAGCTTATAGGAAACTTATTAATAGTGTATAGGCCCTATACTGACCAGTTAACCCTCGTATACTTGAAATCGATGCAGCATAAGACTATCGATAATGTGCTTGCACGAGGAGAGAAGTTGGATAGCCTAGTCGAGAAGAGTTCAGATCTAAGTGCAGCATCACAGGTAATCATTCACATGCATTAGGATTTGAGGATCTGTTGTTATTGATGCCAAAAGAAAAGTGCATTGTTACTATCAAACATATAGGTAATCTATACACAAATATTTGTTGATATCATTTGCTCCCAAACAGAATAATAAAAACAAGATTTGCTGTTCGAAACCAGCTTGCCTCAAAAGGTACCTTCATTCCCCATGTTGAAAAACAGCACAAGTTATTTTAGGGTGTATTCCCAGCCTATGGAGTTTTCCAGTGCTTTGTTCGCTTTTTTATTTAACCAAGATAATGCTATCCAGATTATTAAGCAAGATTTGAGAGTATGCTGGTCTTTTTAAGAACATTTACATTTGCATAATGTTTTATTCACGTTGTTTACTAAAGCTATTTCTGCAAAGTTGGTTGGGATTTTTCCATTTTACGCACCTGTTTCAAATTCAAGAACAGAATATTACTTATATTGCACTGACTGTTTTTGGGTCCATCTGTTTCCTCATGAACAGATGTTTTACAAGCAGGCTAGGAAAACCAACCAATGCTGTACATTGTTGTAAAATTGCCCGAAAGGCCTGATTCCATCACAGCAATCACAATCCATGGTGTAAACTCCTGTTTGGATACATAGGTACGGTTGTATCACTATTATCATTATTCCTTCTAGTTACTACAGTATATCCTGCCCCTGTAATCTTTCTGCTAATAGTACTACATCGATGTGGTTGTATCACCGAAGTGAAGAATTAATGCTCTTGTTGATCCATATGTGAGTGCTGACAGTCTATATTTGTCATTCATTTTGTATTTTTTCTTCGGCTGGGTCTTTAATAAGTATTTAGTTTTCCGGTTTGATCATATGCTCTAATGAAGCTCTTCTAAGTGGATAAAGATCTGCTTTTTTGTTCCTAGGAACACACAAGACTGCTAGTCCTTGATGTTATAATGGATTCCTGGTTGCAACTTCTGTAACTTAACTGCTTGATTCGAGTGGCTGTAGCTTAATTGCAATTTATTTTCAAAAATAGATTTTTTTTTGAGAAAAAGGTAGAACTATTTCATTAAATATTCACTAGGTAGGTCGATATAAAACTGAAAACAAAACAATTTAGCATCAGTTCCCCAGCAGGAGATTTTTTGAGATCTCCTACCGTAAGAAGCCAATTTGAGCCAAAAAGTTGACTGTTTAGTTGTGTAATTAAAATTAATTACATTCATTTTAGAGGTAAGTTCTCAAATGTCTTTAATCTGCTAAGCCAGTGCCCATTTGAGACTTCTTGCCCGCTTTATGCCTTCGATAATGGCTCTAGGCATTCCACGTATTTGATCTCTCTCTCTAGCAGTGCAAGGAATTTGATTTCATGTATATGATTGATTACTCGTATTTATACCATGAATACTTTCCCTATTGAATTCGTCAAAATATCCCATAATATTATTATAATTGTAGCAAAATGAGAAATTATTTCGATTGCACCACACAAGTAAAAAAAATAAGAAATTGCAATAATGCTTGTTAATCGCTACTAAGCACAGTGTTTTTTACGATTTAATCCTTCTTGTAATTAACTACTCCCCCATCCACCAATTGTCAAAACAATGGAATGTGATATTAAGTTTTTGTTGGACAATGGTGAAAAGTCGAAACATTCAAAGATGGAAATGTTTGGCTACATCAAAAATAGAATTTTTTTTCCAAGGAAAAACAATCAAAAATAGAATTTGACTGCATGATTTTGCCCTATAAATAGTCTTTGTATTTTACATTGTTATTTATCTTCGTGTTTACACTTCCGCGGAACGATGCTGGAAGTTCTCTTTACGATCATGTGTCATAAAAATAATTATACGGTTTTAGATAATTACGTACTAGAAGATAATAGTTTTCAAGGAATTAAAAAGGATGAAGAATTTATCTTTTGGCTTATATTCACATAATATTTATTATAATATGCGATTCTGTGGTCCATAAATTACTTTAAACTATACTTATTACTTTCACAATAATCATATTATTGCAATCCTTTTAATTAATTTGAGATCCTCCAATTCTATTAGCGCGATTAAAAATACACATTACCGCGCACATATATAATATATGTATCTATGTATATCGGCCCAACCCAGCCCATTTGTGGTCGCCTTAACGAAATCAAGGATTAGGGTTTTGCTTATCCCCTCTCGCCGCCTCCGCCGCGCTTGGTTCTTCCTCCTCCAGTTGCGGAGACCCGTTGTTGCCCGAAGCCATGGTAAGAACCCTAAGCTCTCAGTTTCCTCGCCAATATCTGTTTTTGACGCCTCGATCCAAGTTCCTTCTTCCCCTGATTCCTCCTTGTTCATCTCTCTCAGATCATCCCGAATAAGAACCGCCATGAAATCTGCAAATACCTCTTCCAAGGTACGCTGTTCTCTCTCGCAACCTCTCCATGCCGTCTTGTTTGGGTCGAAGCCTATTTGAGAGGTTGCATTTTTTACTTGGTTTCTTTGTTGATAGAGGGGGTGCTGTACGCGAAGAAGGACTATAACCTCGGGAAGCACCCGGAGATCGATGTGCCGAACCTCCAGGTGATCAAGCTCATGCAGAGCTTCAAATCGAGGGAGTATGTGCGTGAGACCTTTGCCTGGCAGCACTACTACTGGTACCTTACGAATGATGGCATTGAGTACCTGAGAACATTTCTTAACCTGCCATCGGAGATTGTTCCTGCAACCCTGAAGAAGTCTTCAAGGCCACCACCGACCCGCCCATTTGGCTCTGGTCCTCCTGGTGACCGCCCCAGGTGCTACTGCGGCTTTTTCTATAAGGGCTTGGCTTGCTTTTTTGTCAGTGCGTAGCTTGTGTTGATCATCATCACGATTCTGCAGGGGACCGCCCCGGTTTGAAGGAGATAGGCCAAGGTTTGGAGACAGGGATGGGTACCGTGGTGGCCCTCGTGCTGGGCCGCCTGGTGAATTAGGGGACAAGGGTGGTGCACCTGCTGAGTTCCAACCATCTTTCCGGGTAAAATTTAATATAGTTGCATTATTTGCTTGTCTTTGTTCTGTATATTGAAATTTCTGTAAAACAGAGTGGGATAAATTTTCTCTGGTTTGCAGCTTATAAGTGACGAAGCACATTTTTTTTTCTGTATTTTCTCATGATTGATAAAAAGAGATATTGTTAGTTGTATTTATTTATCGGAGTTGTTCTTCACCTGACAGTTCCTTGCCAGCCTTTTTCCTTTGGTTTGTTCAGTCTTTGTTATTAATGGTTGATCCTTTCGTATCTGGATATCTTAGTGCTTTGTCCCCATCGGGCTATCTTTTGGTTGTTCTTCTAGTTTGAGCGTATTATTGGTTTAATTAGCTATATCTTTCAGTTTCATTAGGGGTTGACTAGATACGTGTCTTGCACATGAAATAACGAAGGGGTGTGGAGATGACATAGGCTTCACCATTTCAGCATATGTGGCTTTTCCTTGGAGATGGTTCTATTATAATAGTTACTCATAACAATCCCAATGAAAATGGCTGATGTTGTGATGTTGAAGAACATCACCTTTGTTTGGGAACAATGATTAGCATCCTCATGTAAACCTTTCCAAATTCTTTATATGAGCACATGGCACACACTAACAAGACAAAACTGTCATCATCTTTTGAGTAGGTATCATCTTTTATCCTTAGCATCATTATGAAATCTAATAAAAACTGAAATATTTTATATCTAATCCTGTCTGGTAGAACTATGACATTGAACTGATGCAATTTTGCCTATACTGGAGGATTGAGGTATTCTCTTTTGTTTCTACTCCAACCCCTGCAAAAAAAAAGCGCTCCTTTTTTGTTAATTTTGGTTTTTCTTGTGCTCAACTTTTGCCCCTGATGTAGGATGCACAAACTTTAAAATGCTTGCCATGTCTATATTGAGTATGTATGCAGCAGATACTTGAACACATATTAGGATATCTGCATCAACTTTTATTTGTTAATGTTAATACAATATTATTGTAGGATACTTACAGAAGTTCCATTGGGATTATTAAATGAAGAATATGGAGATAGCTGCTGATCTTGTAGTTTCTCTTATTAAGACTATGAATGTCTTCTTATTATTTGTATTTGAATTTGATGTGTTTTGCGGATCAGTTAGATTTCCAGTGAGGCAAATATATGATGGTTATAAATCACATGAATCATATCTTCATATATAAATTTAAGCAATTATTATCAATGGGCATAAATTATAAATTGTTAATTCCTGTGTCCATGTGTTGTGGACGACTTAATACCTATCCCATCATGTCATAATCTTGTATTTGCTGCTAAGTTTCATATCCTTGATGTGAATTCTTTTGGAAAAATTCAGATTAATCTGTATAAGAAGCTTTGTTCTTGGTGGCAAATAAGTAAATGCTTTTCATTGGTTTATACCAGCTACAAAGTTATATGCAATTTTGTGTTTCATATTGTGACTATTGTGGTTGAAGTTACAAAGTCTTCTTACTTTGTCTTCGCTACTACTCCATAGCTGTCTGCAAGTCTAGGTTGGACATGCAGAGCATGCGATACTTGTTCCAAAGGATTGTGGATTTTGGAATACTCTCTTGGTTTAATAGTTGCCTTAATATACTGGAAATTTCGTTTGTGGTCCCAGTTTGTGTATTGTAATTTATGTTTTATTTTTTATACGGAGATGTGGTAATTATAAATTCGTTTCCACACTGTACAGGGTGTCGGTGGCAGGACTGGATTTGGCCGTGGAGGTGGAGGATATGGACCAGGTGCTGCATCTGCTTCTTACCAGTAGTTCTAAGGCAACTGCCGGTGTCGTATCTCATCAAGCCTCCAATGTTCCATAGCTAGGTCAAGATTCATATTTCCCCAAGTGATTGGTGGATTAGAGTTTTGGACGAACTTTCCGTTTAAGACTGCATATCACACAGACTGCTTTTGAGATTCTCAAAATTATTCTTCTTTCATATTCATCATCAGAGGTGGAATAACAAGAGCCTTTTGGCTATATGCATTTTGGCGAATTTGCTCATTGACATGTATGCTAACTCTGTTAATCCATACATTAGTTTTCAGTTTCCTGTCAAGATCATGCTTGAGCTTCTTATTGAGAATCGAGAGAGTTTTCACACTCCGTAATGCTGAAAGGTGAAACCATATATCTTCTATCTATTAAAAGCATCCGAAATATTTTGAATTTCTTTCTCTTTAATTGAAGGTTACAACTTGTTAGCTGTTGGTGTGGCGTATGCTGAGATGGAAGGTCGGCTCGAGCTCACAGTGGTTTACGGTCAAAATCTTGTTGCAATATGAGAGCCCTTCTTGAGACGCGAATCTCGAGTTGGAGTCAACATGCTTTCTCGTGCAACAAGGCCCATGTCGGGTGTAGAGTGAGAGTCTAAGAAATGGGTGCGCTACTTGCAAGCATTGAGGGAAAATGTTTCCTGAATTGAAAAATATTTGGGCATTCTGATTCTTACTTGCAAGCATTGAGGGAAAATGTTTCCTGAATTGAAAAATATTTGGGCATTCTGATTCTTGCTGATGTGGTAGATTTAGATGAGGGTGGCGTTGAAGTGCGACGGTGTTCTAAGATGCTTGATATTACAGTTATGCCTAGGGGGCACCTGGTGGTGTATGTTCCAGGGAAGATTTTGTTTGAATGTCTTGTTAAAAAGGGGGTGCATTAGCTACTTGATCCTTTACTTAGGGAGGTTATATTGGGTGCTTTTCAATGATGCTTTTATGAGTGAGAGCATTTTTCAATGCTTTCTTGGATAAGAGTATAACATGTTTTTTTTT